TGGCAGCGTGTCGGCATACAAGGCTGCTTGCCCATAGACGTCAACCACATCGGCTCTCCACCACGACAGTAGTAGATGACGTGACCAGGGTTAGCCTTAGCGAGCATCTCGAAGTCCTTATGGGCTTCATCATCAGCATCTATCTCCGGACAGAGTTCTTCGAATGCCTCTACCTCCGAGTCGTCCATCATGTCATCCTTCCTCTGATACTCCTCGAGTAAGTGGCTCTCGTCTCCAACTAGATCGGACTCCGAAACGTCACCTTCGCTGTCGGTCATTTCCTCGTCGCACTCTTCAATGGACAAACCGAATTCATCAATCTGCAGTTTCCATCGACTCTCAAGTGCCCTCCGACAGGCCACATGCACTCCTTGGCCGTCACACTCAGCAACATCGCGTGGAAGACCACACAAAGAACAGCTCCTAGACGTAACAAGATCGTCATCCACAGTAGTGTCGTCCTCTGAGGCCGGGATAGGGGCATAGTAGACGTTGTTCCACGGCAGTTGTGACCGCAACGCTCTGAACGACCCCGGGCAGCTCCTACAAGCAAATACATATATGGTCCGATGAAAGGCGGCATCGTTCTCCCCAGGAGAGTAGACTTGAGCCAGGAAGGTCAGAGGTTGATCACAGTTATCACAAGTGAGATCTCCCGCTGGCAAAAGCTCCGGGTCTAGCCACGCCGGAGAGCCACCAATCTTGCTGGGGAAGTAACGCCGTTGAAGTAGATGGTCTTTACGAGGCTTCACAGTGTAACCGACCAGAGGAGTAGGGCCGTCCTCTGTGGAACTCGAGGCATCTGATCCAGAGCCATTACGGGGAGAGGACATGTCCATAGTCATGGGAACTGGAACAAGGTTGATGAGAAGCCACGGTAGCGTAATATTCGCCGAGCCGACGCCCCAGTAGAGGCAGGGAATGCGGTACCCGACACAGTCCTGTCAGGCCCAGAAGTTATGGGAACTTTGCTCACATTTGGAGTCCAATCGAATTATTCAAAAACCATCACTTCAACAATTCACGCAGAATGTCAGAAAATTACCCCTAAATTTACAGAGTGCCGATGTCAAACTATACAGCGACACGAACTAATTCTCATATATCCACAGAACCGCTTCGCCAGGGTAAGAATTCAGCACCCATATGTTAAGACGAACTCGTGATGTCCTACCACGTGATCTCAGTTTTCCACCTTTTCACGAAGACCATCAATTCGAGCGCTCCCTCTCTGTTCACCTGTCGTCGCCTATTGCGGTCTCTCACTGACTCTACGAGCGTTACCGTCTCACCAACGAACGGCTTTAATTTCTCGTTAATCGACCATATCTCAATCCCAACAGATAGAGCTCAAATCTATGGAGTTACTATTATGAAACCATGCGAGGCCCTTTAGAATAGCCAGAGTACTACTACCACGGTACCAACAGTAAGAATGATCATGATAGGGATGCGATACGAACAAAAGATGAGGTCGAGCGCAGTCACTTTACCCTTCTCAAGATTGTGCTCGAACCGCACCCACCACAGGCCGAGCCTCGCTGGCCAACCCTACTGTGTGAAACCGTTTGGTTCGTCGGTTGAGTAGTCTGGAGCCACTCAGAGTTAAAATGGGATGTCCCGAGGACAAGGTGAGAGATCGATCCTTCCTAGGAGGAGGGAGATCAATAACTGGTACAGTGCCTGCCGACTCTGTAGTGAGCCTCTCATGGTCATCAAGTTCCGAATTCACAAGTATAGTAAGCTCAGATGAGTCCATGGCTCGGAAGGTACCTACTATCGAGGCTACAGTATGAGGCCACTGAGCTA